TCTTCTCCAGGCTGAATAACCCCAGTTCCCTCAGCCTCTCCTCATAAGACTTATTCTCCAGACCCCTCACCATCTTTGTCGCCCTTCTCTGGACCCGCTCCAGCACCTCAATGCCTCCCTTGTCAGGTTGCTCAAAGCCCCATCCAGCCTGGCCTTGAACCCCTCCAGGGATGGGGCAGCCACAGCTTCTCTGGGCAACCTGCTAGCATCCAGGTCCCTCTGGATGGCATCCTTTCCCTCTAGCCTATTGACAACACCATGCAGCTTGGTGTCATGGGTAAACTTGCTGAGGGTGTGCTCAATCCCACCATCCGTATTGCCCAAAATGATGTTAAACACCACTGGTCCCAGTACTGATCACAGAGGAACACCACTCATCACTGGTTGCCACTTGGGCATTGAGCTGTTGACTGCAACTCTTTGAGCATGGCCATCCAGCCAGTTACAGGCCCACCTCTCTAGCATCCAGGTCCCTCTGGATGGCATCCTTTCCCTCTAGCCTATTGACAACACCATCCCGCTCACATTGCTGGTTCATGTTGGGCTTCTCATCCACCAACACCCCTAAATCCTTCTCAGGGCTGCTCTCCAGCCATTCTCTGCCCAGCCTGGATTTTTGCGTGGTATTACTGTGACCCAGGAGCAGGACCTTGCAATTGGGCTTGTTGAACTTCATAAGGTTGGCACAGGCCCACCTCTCTAGCATCCAGGTCCCTCTGGATGGCATCCCTTCCCTCTAAGCCTATTGACAACACCACATGATATTAAGGTGCTTTATGTACTGTTGAAATTAGGAAAAATATCCTTTTTTTTCTTTTTGGTGGAAATGTGATTTAAGGCACAACTAAGAATGTTTGAGAGTAGAATACTGATGTAATCATCCTGTTTCTGTGCTTGCTGAGGGTGCACTCAAGGAAGGGGGTTGAGTCACCATCCCTGGATGTGTTTAAGGGATGTTTAGATAAAAAGCAAAAACCCCAAAAAAACACACACCACACCAAACACCCACCAAAAACATCGCACCCACCAACTAAACCCCACACTCAACACCTCGCCATAAACCAATAACCTTGGGCACTAGAGCATGCCCTCCCACCATCTGTATTGCCCAAAATGATGTTAAACAGCACTGGTCCCAGTACTGATCACCGAGAGGAATACCACTCATCACTGGTTGCCACTTGGGCATTGAGCTGTTGACTGCAACTCTTTGAGCACGGCCATCCAGCCAGTTCCTGATCCACTGAGTGGTCCATCCCTCGAATCCATGTCTCTCCAATTTAGAGAACAGGATGTCATAGAGGACAGTGTCAAATGTTTGCATGATACTAAGGTGCTTTGCATACAGTAGAAATTAAGAAAAATATCTTTGGTTTTTTGGTGCAAATCATAGAGTCATAGAATCCTCTAGGTTGGAAGAGACCCTTGGGGTCATCGAGTCCAACCATCTACCCTACTCTACAAAGTCCTCCCCTACACCATGTCCCTTAGGGGGTTTTAAGGCACAATTAAGAGTGTTTGAGAGTAGAATACTGATGTAATAATATTAGAATACTGATGTAATCATCCTGTTTCTGTAGCTCTCATGAAGCAAGGAACCTGAAATGATACAAATAAATTTTATGTGTTGGAAGAAGTTACCCTGTCAGTGAAACGGTGATGGGGGGGTCCTCATCTCCGCGTGCTTTTTCTGCAAGATGAGATGGACCCACATCCTCTATGAATGTGTGGCACTTGGTGTTTGGGAGCAGGGAGAAGAGGATCTCTCCCCCTCATTTTCCTGTTGTATCTGTTACAGCTTCCTTCTGCCGCTGCCATCTGAAAGGGAAAAGGAGCATTAAAACAATGGAAATTAAAACACATCGTGGGGGTACATCATCTTCTTGCAGGGTGCTGTAGGATTTATTTTGGCTTTAATTCCTCTGTCCTCCTTGGTAGCAGAGTAGGACAAGCGTGTGTTCTCCTGTCCTCCTCGCATGCCGTGTTCCATATGGTGCTACAGATTTCCTTGCTCACTTGAGTTTTCTTAACTGCTCTTTCTGGGATCGTGGTCCCCTTGGAGTCCTTGAGTGGGTGGTGCAGCCTGTTGTTTTTCTTTGAAAGGAAGAAAGAATAATGAACTGGAAGTTTTGGGTATGTCTGTGTTGACTTTTTGAGAGAAGAGGGAGCATTTCTCCTAGGTTTAAGTTCTTTGTGTTTATTTGAGAAGAGCTTCTGCACTTGAGTTCCTACTGCTGTCCTGATGGTACTGAAGAATTCAGAAAAATCTATCAAATCTTAACCCTTTTGGTGTCCTGCTTGTTGTCATTGAAGATTCTCTTAAATAAACCGTAGGAAATACATTCCTCTCCCTTGTTATTTTTCGATGATGTACAAGCAGTTCTCACTTACCTTCTAAGTTTTAGTATCGAGGACAAGTGACAGTTATGGCAAGGAAAGTTGATGTTTCCTTTCTTACCTGACAACAGGAAATACTGGGTTTAGTTTGGACATCATTGATTTAACAAATCCAGAGTGAAAGCTGTTAAGGTTGCAGAGAGCAGCACCAGCATTTAGCAGTGGCTGGTTTTTTTTTCTCTTCTTCCAACTATTTAACCTTCCCTCCACAATTAGCTTAAGAAATCCAGAAGAAGACTTCAAGAAGTTCTATCTTTCTCCTGACAGGGTATTTTTTCTTAGTCTTTGGGGTTGGAAACAATGGCTGTTCTAGTTTTTAACTATTTTTCTCCTCTTTCAGCATAGCATGCCTACCTTCTTCAGGTGGTGCCTTAGTTCAGAGACCTAAACTTCTGTGGTTTAAATGGAATAATAGTCTCCACATGCTCATGCTTTACTAATTGTATTTTTGAAGGCATTTACTTTCAGCAAGTATATGCTCCAAATTTCTTTGAAAGTTGTGATTGTTTCCTGATGTTCCAGCATATGATTCAAAACAGTGTGCATGCAGTGATTTATTTATTTTAAATACCTTTCTTGTTGCTTATTCACTCATCAAATTGGTTCAGAAACTGTCAGTTGAGCTACAAAATTCATCCCTCTGGTTCGTAAGGCTGGGATATACCAGTGTTTAGGTCATAATCAATATAACTAATCTTTTTTCACTATGAAGTATAGAGATTTCAATGTCTGTATTGCTGATTTAAAGCAGAAGCCTGTATGGACCGTGGCTGCCCTTCTGAGGACCAAGGAAGAAGAAAATTCAGGATGATTTTTTGTCAAAACCCAACTTCTTGAGTGCTACTTACTGTAGGATATATGAATATGTCTTTTTGGTGATTGCTGTCTCCTGGGTCTTTCTGGTTGTGTGAGCGAGTCCTTCCAGGGGTGGGCTTCTGGATCCGGTGGCAGGATCCAGGGTCTTAAGGGGGTGAGTGGAGTGAAGAGAGAGGGAGAAAACCTCAGAAATTTGGAGTGACATCAAGAAACTTCTCTCTCTTAATGCCAGTTTCATTAAATTTTTAACAGTTATGTTGAAATCTCAAATTCCAATGATTAAAAAAGATTAAATATTAAAAATCTTACCAGATGATGTTACTCAGAAGTTAAAATAAACGAGTGGGGCGTGGGGAGGGTGGAAATAAGGGCCCGTGACACTTCTTTGCTGTCCTGGTGTATGTGTGAAAACAGGTTGGAAGGTGTGGGTGGGTTTTTGACCAGTTTCTCTGTGTAGTTGTGACATCCCTCGTGCAATTTTGGTGGGTAAGTAGTAGTAACTGCAACACTAACTTATATCTATATATGTGTGTATATATATATATTTATAAAATCTTGCACAGGTCCTTGAGTCCAAAGTAGAATTTCTTCTTTATGGTTCTTTATAAGTAATGAATCAGGATATATTTCTGTGCTCTGGAATTTTGATAACTAATGGATAACTTTCCCTTTTTATAAATCCAGTAGTTGTAGTAAGAAAGCTCTGAAACATCTGAAAATTGGGAAAGTAAAAACCACAATATTTATGTTTTTTTTTATTTTCTTGAAGTACTTTGTTCTCTACTGAACACCAGACACGTTTACCAGAAATAATCTTTACTTGAAGTGTACAGACTAATAGGAGTGACTGGTTGTCCTTATAGATAATTTCAAAATATCCCTATTTTGATCATCTTTTGGTCCTTAGGACTTTATCTACCAGTGATGATGTTGAGGACCGAGAGACTGAGAAAGGTCGCCTGGAAGAAGCTTATGAGAAGTGTGACAGGGATTTGGATGAGCTGATTGTCCAGCACTACACCGAGCTCACCACCGCCATCCGCACCTACCAGAGCATCACCGAGCGCATCACCAACTCGCGCAATAAGATCAAACAGGTGAAAAGTTAATTTTTACATGTATTTCTGTGTTTGCATCCCCTTGGTAGCCTGTACTCTGTGTGACTCCTCTATCTTTTTCCTCTGTACGGTCCTTTTATTGGTAGTGTAATGGTGTAAGCTCTCATTTTAACTTCTTATTTCTCTCTCCCCTTTTCCAGCTGCTTGCTGTCATTCTCAGAGAAGGCTGAGGGGAGACCTTATCAATGCTGACAAGTACCTCAAGGGCGGGCTGAGGGAGGAGGGAACCAGACTCTTTTCAGTAGTTGCCAGTGAGAGGACAAGGGGCAATGGGCACAAGTTGGAACATCAAGGGTTCCACTTGAACATGAGGAAGAACTTTTTCACAGTGAGGGTGACGGAGCCCTGGAAGAGGCTGCCCAGGGAGGGTGTGGAGTCCCCTTCTCTGGAGATTTTCAAGCCCCGCCTGGATGCTCCTGAGTAACATGCTCTGACAAGCCCTGGGTGGTCCTGCTTCAGCAGGGGAGTTGGACTAGATGATCTCTATGGTCCCTTCCAACTCTAAAAATTCAGTGAAATTCAGTGCAATTCTCAACTGAAGTAAAAAATTAACTGAGGGAGCGCTGTTGTCCACTAATTCTGAACTAGGCCTGACTTTTCAAGTCATGGAATGGTTCAGGTTGGAAGGGATCTTAAAGACCATCCAGTTCCAACCCCCCTGCCCTGGGCAGGGACACCTCCCACCAGACCAGGTTGCTCCAAGCCCC